ATCAACATTGCGTGCAGCAGCAACCACAGCCTCCCAGACACTGTTCAGAGAGGTGTACTGTTTTCCCTCCTTGTAAATCTCACATTTGATGATGGACCACAGGTTCTCAATGGGGTTCAGATCAGGTGAACAAGGAGGCCATGTCATTAGTTTTTCTTCTTTTATACCCTTTCTTGCCAGCCACGCTGTGGAGTACTTGGACGCGTGTGATGGAGCATTGTCCTGCATGAAAATCATGTTTTTCTTGAAGGATGCAGACTTCTTCCTGTACCACTGCTTGAAGAAGGTGTCTTCCAGAAACTGGCAGTAGGACTGGGAGTTGAGCTTGACTCCATCCTCAACCTGAAAAGGCCCCACAAGCTCATCTTTGATGATACCAGCCCAAACCAGTACTCCACCTCCACCTTGCTGGCGTCTGAGTCGGACTGGAGCTCTCTGCCCTTTACCAATCCAGCCACGGGCCCATCCATCTGGCCCATCAAGACTCACTCTCATTTCATCAGTCCATAAAACCTTAGAAAAATCAGTCTTATTCTTGGCCCAGTCTTGACGTTTCAGCTTGTGTGTCTTGTTCAGTGGTGGTCGTCTTTCAGCCTTTCTTACCTTGGCCATGTCTCTGAGTATTGCACACCTTGTGCTTTTGGGCACTCCAGTGATGTTGCAGCTCTGAAATATGGCCAAACTGGTGGCAAGTGGCATCTTGGCAGCTGCACGCTTGACTTTTCTCAGTTCATGGGCAGTTATTTTGCGCCTTGGTTTTTCCACACGCTTCTTGCGACCCTGTTGACTATTTTGAATGAAACGCTTGATTGTTCGATGATCACGCTTCAGAAGCTTTGCAATTTTGAGACTGCTGCATCCCTCTGCAAGATATCTCACTATTTTTGACTTTTCTGAGCCTGTCAAGTCCTTCTTTTGACCCATTTTGCCAAAGGAAAGGAAGTTGCCTAATAATTATGCACACCTGATATAGGTTGTTGATGTCATTAGACCACACCCCTTCTCATTACAGAGATGCACATCACCTAATATGCTTAATTGGTAGTAGGCTTTCGAGCCTATACAGCTTGGAGTAAGACAACATGCATGAAGAGGATGATGTGGACAAAATACTCATTTGCCTAATAATTCTGCACTCCCTGTAAAGTGTATGCCATCTCAGGGGGCGGGGGAAGCACCGAAATAAAGCACCGAAATGTGCGCTGCTTTTCGGTCTGGTTACTACCGTTTATGTCAAACCGTTACCCATCCCTACACATATGCACTGCACTGGTCACTCCACTTTATTGTCATTGATATTTATATTTAAAAAGTGCAATAGTGTAATTTTCTGCTGCTCATTCTTGTGCAATATCCCATCTGCCCTCCCGTCATATTTCTTTTCAAGATTTTCTTATTTAATCACTAGTGTACATATATTTATATTTATAGATACATATATATTTAGTCATCTTTTCTCTTTTTACCACGTCTCTCTAATATTTTGCTCTTTACTATTTTTTTTATTATTTTATTATATTTTATTATATTTTCTTCTACTGTACCATGCTGCTGAGTGACTGCTGCTCGTCAAACACATTTCATTGCAATGTTGACTCTGTGCTAACTTGCATATGACAAATAAAACTTAAAACTTAAAACTATGGTTCCTCTGTAGGCCTATAGAAAAACCCAGACATTTTCATCAATCTTGGACACCGCGGACAGAACGTGAAAAGTGGACATGTCCAGTTGGTCACCCTAACTTAGACAAAATACTGTTACTGTTAGTTTCACTCTCTGTAGTTTTTAAATGCTTACATATACACGCACACAGTTATTGTCCCTTCACACAAGACTCCTTTCTGCTTCTATGCGCCATCTTTGTTTACTCTTTCCCACCTATGCTTCTAGACTTCTGATTGGCCAACATTCCTACACGGTTAGGAATATATCGCCACCTGTTTCTTTGGCATGTTCCTAGCAGCATTTTCCTTCGTTTTTGCGTTGACGTGTGGACAGGATTTAAAAAAAAAAAAAAAAGAGGAAAATCTCAGTTTTCAAAAATACCCATGTACGTGTAGACGTAGCCTAAGATGAAATATCACAGGGTTAAATGTTACACATTGAGTTATATATCAAGACATCATATGATTAAATAAGTCTTTTCTATCGATTTTCATTAGTAATTGCGTTTGGCTAAACTGTAGGAAAATATTACAATTAATTCAAAAATATAAAACTTGTTCACAGTTATTTCTTTTCAGTCATGTACTCTTTTGAATTTAAGCATGACCTATTTTAAGGACTGTTATCACACTGGGGATTCACGTAATAAAATGTCAGTACGGTTTGATTTACACTGCAAAAATGAGCTCAGAAGCAAAATACAAAAAAAAGATCCTGAATATTCCTGTGGCATCTCACTTTAACACTGCAAAACACAGCGATACTCCATTACAATATATTAATATACTGGCATTATAGTCTGTTCTCTGTCCCAGGACATTAAATACTTGTGTTCTGTCAAAGCTGCTTGTGATACCCTCTGGCTTTAGTGCAATGATGCACTGGGTCTAGCAGTGAGAGACAGGCCACACTCTTAACTCTTCTCAAATCAGTGCTCGTGCAGGACCCTGTGGCATCGTGGTTTTTTTGTAACTGTATTGTGACAAAATGGAAGTATTTGACCATGATGGGATATTTTTTATGTAAGTTTTCTTATGAGTTATTTTTACTATTTCATTTTTTCACTTTCTTTTTTGATGTCATTCTTTGTAGTTTACTATTAGTTGAACACCTGTGTAAGATTGAGCTTGTCTGTAAATTTGGGTCAGGTGTTTCTCATCTTCCTTTTGAGAATGCCTGATAGAGTATGTATGAGGTTCATGTCAGGCATATTGGCTGGCTGATTAAGCACAATAATATCATGGTCAGAAAAGCATTTGGTTCAGTTTTTGCAAAATCCTGTTGGAAAAGCAAAGTCGCATCTCCATAAAGCATGTCAACAGATGGAAACATGAAATGCTCCTGGTAGATGGCTGCATTGACTTTTGGCCTGATAACATACATTGGATCAGCCAACACCAGCAGATGGCATGGGAATCATTACAGACTGCACACTGGACTTCAAACACCTTGGATTATGTGCTTCTCCATTCATTCTCCAGACTTGTAGTCACTAATTTCCAAATAAAGAGGACTTTGGAATACTGAGCCACAGTCCATTTCTTTTCTGGTTCTTTTCATTTTCTCTTCAAGTCAGGTTTACGTTAGTATACTGTGGCACTTTGCAAACAGCCAGCCTTTTTAGTAAAGGCCTTCTCTGTCTCACCCTCATTGTGGAAGGTGTCAGTGATCATCATCTGAACAACTGTAAAGTCAGCAGTCTTTCCCATGGCTGTGTGTACTGAACTAGACTGAAATATACATGGTATTTATACTGTTTGAATAGCAATAATTCAATATTACAGTAATTTGAGATATTGAGTTTGTGAGTTCCATTAAAGGGCAAAATTTGATTTTTTTTTTCAGATTTTTCTAATTAAATTTTTCTAATTTTTTAGATGGACCTGAAAACAACTATTTTTTCAAAAACCACCCTCCACCTTAACCATGCTAAAAATGATCCTACGTAGTTATGAAAATGTTTAAAGCTAGCTTTATACAGAATTAAAACTTTACATGAAAATTAAAAAAAAAAAGGCAAATTAAGAAGTTATTGAAAACACTCTAAAAGTGAATGTTACAGTTAAACAAATCAGAAAAGATGTATGTGTAAATGTTATGCCCATAGTTCTGTATTATTTCCCAGCTTTTACAGCGCTAAATACATCTGAGGGCCATGAATGAATATGGATTAACACATCACATAAATGTGCCAGCTGATCAGTGATTGGATCTGAAATCATCATGTCCCTTGTTTCTGTAATTATTTTAAGGTGTGTTGAGGATATAACGGTGATATGATTACTTACAGGAAGTACATGTCGTAGCATTGTGATAGAGACATACTATACTGAGAAATGTCAGCAAACTGTATAATTTCCAGTCATTCACCTCCCTGTCTGTTTGTTTTATGTGTGGCTCTTCTATACACCCGCATCCATTCATTTACCCATTTAACAAGGACAACATTGATTGAGAGAAGTGGTGAGAGTGCAGATTCGATTTCAAGGGACAGGATTGGATTTGATAGCGGGGGCATAATAGCTCTCATTGGCTTTTATGGCACTGAATAGCTTAGCTGGAGCTGTCTTGATTCGACTGAGGTGTAATTCTGAGAAGGATCCCGGGGATGGCAGGAGCACAAACATCCTGTTCCCCATTGTCCCAGCCCACAGAACTCACTGTGCTTTACCCAGAAGAGATGGCCAAATGACAAAATGTGAGTCTAGAACCTTTCTTTGAAGGAAAAAAAAAATACATATGAAGTGTAAGAGTCCACGATTCTAATAGTGCGCTTAGATCAATGAACTGTCAACCATCAAAACGAAAGAGAAAAAAACAGAGTAACCTGCCGTGAATTGTCGTTAAACAAAGGGGCATGCTGGCGCCAGCACAAAGGCTGTTTTTGTGTCGACTAAAATCCAGGCCTTGTGGCTGAGATAAGATGTATTCAGACTCCACAGCCACAATTTGGGTAATCAGTCTCCTCCTAATTCCTCTCCACTTGTTCCGCTCTGATTTCATTCATCTGCAAATTGCTCTGAGAAGAAGAGTTTTGCTCGGATGGGGGATGAATTGTGCTCTGAGTGTACTCTGCTTTTCTACAATATGTTAGCTTCTGATGAATGCCGATGTCAAAACACTGTCCACTGAGCAATCGTTTTAAATCTGAAAGTAGTTGCTGTTATCATCTTGTTTGTAAAATAAAATGCACTTTTCACTGCTAAATTGCGTATCCACCTGATACCAGAACAATGATGTCTTTGTTTCCATCAGACTACCTGTTCTGCTCTTATTTTTTCCCCTTAAAGAAACAACTAGGATGGTGAAGTAACCAGGGTTTTGTGTTATAGGTGGTGCCACAGGTGATGCTCAACCAGATGCTGTACCTTCGGTACAGGGCACCCTGCCCCACTTCATCCAGGAGCCGGAGGATGCCTACATTGTCAAAAGTAACCCTATCAAGCTGCGCTGTCGAGCTGTGCCTGCCTTACAGATCTTCTTCAAATGCAATGGGGAGTGGGTTCATCAGAACGAGCACTTCTCTCACGAGTACAAGGACCTCAACACTGGTAAGACAAAGCTTTTTATACTTCCACACATGATGATGATAATAATAATAATAATAATAATAATGATGATATACACTTCCACATAAAGCTCTTGGTTTTAATGTTTAAAAAGTAACATAAACTTGTAAATTAATTAAATTAAGCAAATGATGCTATCTATCGAGTTTGTGTACTACTGAGCTTTTGAAAACTGTTCAGTAACACCAGCATTTACTGATATTTATTGTTAATAACTGTTATTTACTATATTCAACTACTCTTTGGTGTTATCAGAAGACAAGAAATTTAAACTTTTTGCTAAAGGGATTCGCATTTTACATGGTGACAGTCTGTGTGTTGAAACAGTTTTTAAGCTTACATAACAACAGTATTAATATTGTTAATTATAAAGTTAAAATAAATCAGTTTTATTTGAATACCTGTTTTTCACAAAGGAAATTCAGCAAACATGAAAACAAAATTTGACAAAGAAAACTTGTTTTATGTCTCCCTCAGAAACATTATGGATAAACTAGATGATGTGTTCAAGTCAGATGATTGCATACGTAAACAGTTCTCCATTTTAAAGGTCTCTGCAGAGATCTGTAGCATCTGTCAAAGCAAACACTGGTGTTCCAGTTTAGTAGTTTTTTTTCCCCACGGTCTAAAATTTCTTTCATTTATTTAGTTCGAATCATCAAAATGATTAAAGAATGTAGAAACAAAAGAAATCTAACATAATTTAAACTAAAACCTTGCCTTGCCTTGACTAAACTCTAGATAAACATATTTTGACTATTTCAGAAAAATGAGTAAAGCTCAACTACAACCATGATTATGTAAACTAAATTACAAAGTTACTATGGATATTTCAGCTAAATATATGTCAACTAAAATGATGCTGAAGGAAAGTTTACTTGAATTTTGCTGACACTGAGGAAAGTGCCATTGACCTACTCACTGGTAACCCTGACCTCAAGCAATCATATTATCTCATATTAATATTTATTCATTTGTTCTCCCATATCCTGGCATCAGAGACCATGTTAAATAATCATTCTAACAAAGATCAAAACCATCTTTTAAAAAATCAGTTTTGCCATATTTTCAGACCTTCTCGCCAAACCAACTCCTCTATCTGGTAATGTGGGGAACCACAATGTTCTCAAGTCCACTGAGGCATTATAATCTCTGCAGTGTCTCCCAGAAACACATAGAATTCATCCATGAGGCATCCTGGTTACTTGCCTGAACCAACTTAACTGGCTAAAACCATAAACCCATTTCAATTACGGTAAGAAGGTTCTTGGTTTGCATCCCAACTGGGGCGTTCTGGTGGACTTGGCAGTCATGACAGTCATGAAAATGACTTCAGGTCCTGACCACAGCAGCTTAGGCAGACCATCAAGAGAAATATCAGTGTGGCCTCAGATGATTTAAGGCAACAAAAGCAGAACAGCCTCAGTAATCATAGCTGGGCCAAGCAATATGTGAAGTGCTTATTTTAAGCTCCTTGCATTACTAGATGGAGGTTTATATACTGTACCACATCAGCCTGATTTCAGCTAGTTTCACATGAGCCGTCACTCACAGCAATGAAGAAGACCCATTTTTAAATGCTTTTTCTGGTATGATTGCACACTCTGAAATAGTGTTACAGCAGCAGTTCCCCTTGACTGCAGCTAAATTGAAAATTAATAGTTAAATTGCATGTTTGATGCACATTTGATTATTAAATTACATTTTTGATTCATTTTTAATTTAGGAAGTGCTTCCTTTGAGCCCATTGAGTAGATGCTGGTTCACCGTGTTGTACTGCAGTTCCCTTGGGTGGAGAAATTTTAGAAGGAAACAGTCAAATAGCTTTAATTTGGAATGAACACAGAAATATGTGAAGATACTGAAACATTTACCTTCAAATTTTGATTCATAAACCCAACTTTGGGCAAACTCTAACCATGATGGATGTAAACCATGTGAGTCAAATTTCAAAGAAAACCCAGTTATATTCCATCTGGTGCAAAGAAGTTTAAGGTGCCATCTTCATACAAAAGAAACTTTTCTGCAACACAAGTAGAAAAATCCTTTCCATCAACTAACTGTGTCTGTTCTAACTTAGAATTTTTTCTTGTTGTTTATAATAGTTCACATTTTACATGAAAAAAACTCACTGAGGAAAAGGAACTTTCAACAAACTAAAATTATTTAACTATGCGGTGTCCAGTGTGTGGCATCCAGACAACAAGAGCTGACTTAAATAAATACATACAGTTTTACAAAATCAATTTTTAATTCACCAGAAATGAGATTCTTTTGGTGAACTATAGAGAATTTTTGCTAGAAACAAAGTCAGAAGCAGTGTGATCTCACTGAAGCAGCAACAACAAAATCACTCTTAGGGAGAATGGTTGGGTAGATTGACTGATGGGCCAACAAAGCGTTTCATTTAGACAAGAATGTTTGTTTGCTGCGAGTTTCCTACCAAGCAGAAGAAAGGCTGCCAAATTTCTTCCACATTGTTTTAACACCTTTAGAACGAGTGAATGCCAGCTCAACAGCACTGACTTCCAACAGGAGGTTATAAAATGACTTATAAAAAACGGCATCACATCAACTTTGTGTAGTAGATTTGTGATTTCAGTAGTTCTTTTTTTCTCTGCCTATATATGGATGGTTTCCTTTATTAAGACAATGTTCCTTCCCTAGTAACTACTCTCCCTAGAAAGAGTTTGCCTCTCTCTGTGCTCTTTTTTCAGCAAGTCAAACCTAATAAATGGTTAGACTTTCTAATAAATGGCTTTTCCATTTTGTACAATAGTGCCCCTCTTTGCAGACATAAAATATCACTGTTTTATACAGTAGGCACCAGAGCCAGTAACCTGTAAATCCTACATGTAAGCTACACATTAGCTAAGGTTTTTTTTCAATTGAACTGTAGAAGACGTGTTTTCCTCCACTTTCCTCCACAATTGTAGTCTCAGGTGTTGGCATAGGTTAATTTTTACAGTCTTTGTATAACTGTATCACTGAAGCATATGACTGCCTATCTTGGGTTTTATTCTATACCAGATGATGAAGAGTACACGCTGATAAAAGAATACTTGATTCGCAAAATCAAAGCATGCGCTTACATAACACCAAGATTCTACATAGACTCTACCATGCTGAATGTTCATACTTGATGTATATTATAAACTCTTACCATCCACTTGGTTGCTTTCAAACCATTTGGAGGTAGGATTATAGTTAGGTTAGGTTTTAGCCACATGCCACACTAGCAGAGTTTCAGCAACTAGATGACGTCCCTTTGAAATCAAATCTGTTAGGCGCAGTTTAGTTTTACAGCTCTTCTGTAAGCTTTCAATTGGGGTATGCAAAATAGATGAAAATTACACATAAAAGGCTAAAAGTGAAGGTGACCTGGTGAATTTTAAGAGGTAAGTCTCTACTGACTAAACTGATTTTTTTCATTTGTTATTTTTAATCTTTCTCTTGCAAGTCCTCTGCACTTTATGCAAGTGCAGTTTTAAATTAGTTGAGTACCCCTTGGGTAACACTTTTCCCTCTGCATGTATCTCTGGAGAGCATCTGCTTTATTGTCTTGTTCCTCTTATTAAGCTTAATAACTGGTATTCTTTGAAAATGTAAGAATTTTCAGAAGCATCAGTACACCCAGTTCAGTTCTAAATACCCCGACTAAGAGTTTAATCATTCCTAAAAGCCTAAATTGCACTTTCTCATTGCAGTCGTTTTTATTATTCACTGTGTTTAGTTTACTGCTTATATGTTCAAAAATTAAACTGATTAGTTAAGTCATTTTATTTAGTAAAGTAAGTAAAGTAAAATTTTATTTATATAGCACCTTTCAAGATAAAATCACAAAGTGCTTTACAGAGGCCATGACCAAGGCTAGTCACTCAGAAACTATGCTGGCCCTCAGGCTACACCAGCTGGGAACCTTAAAATAATGTGTGAATACTGTTTAAACAATGTGTGCCACCAATACATGTCCAAATGATATAAGTGTCGGGCGAGGTTGTGATTTGAAGTGTGATGGAAGCAGTGGCGTGCCATACCAATTAAGTCCCATTAGCTTTTGTCAAGCGGAAGCGTGTTGATTAGAAGACCTGACTGAGGCCTCCTGAAAGGATTTCTGGCAAACAACAAAAGCCAATGTGACGCCTCGGCTGGAATGCTCTGTGATTACAGGCTGCAAGAAAGCCGTCTTTCTTGTATTCATGAAGGTCTCTCCACAGAAAGAGCCTTTAATTGCTTCTGGAAGTTCATTATAGTGTGATTGCTGTGCTGTGAAATTGTTGTGAGCTTGATAATGGCAAAATGAAATTTGGAACTTCAAATTGTTTGTTGTTTTGTGTACAGTGGAAAAGTACAAGGGAAAGTTCACTTGGTGGTATTTGGCCCAGCTCAGTTCATATTCCACATCAACATCCAGCATCCAGCAGGAGGGAAGCTAATCAGTGGATTTGACAGATAAGAGTGAGACGCTATACCAAAAGCTTTTGCTGTTGCCTCGAGGCTACAGCATACAGCTGCTATGTTAACAAAAGGTTGAAGTAAAAATCTCAAATTCTTGCTTCCGGAATTAAAAGGTTGTGGAACCTTTACAAATAACATATAACACCTTTCCCCTAACAACTAAAAAGCTGAATTCATAAGCAGTAATCCCTTGCTGAGATCAATACACTCAGGGGTCCTGCTGCTACACTTTTCATTCTTAGTCTGGTATTAAGGCCAGTTTTTGTCAGCTATTTGTTCTATATTGCTGTATAAATAAGAATACAAAGTAGAATGGCTAACTTTGTGTCTGCTCTCTAGTTGTTCAACATATCAAAGGTAACCATATTATTGTGACTGTAGAATCAAGTGGTAATTTCCACATTAAATAAAAAAAAGACCACGAGAGTGTCTACTTCCACAGGTTCCCACATTAAAATACCTCGGTGGGTGAATTTAAATTTTTTTTGTTTTTACTGGTAGGTGCTAACATGGGGAGCTATAGT